ATTTGAAAAAGGTTTGTTTTCAGTTGGATGGGTCATACACTATATTTCCAAAAGTATGTGGACACCTGACCAGCATGCATCTATGAGCTTATTGGACATCGCAATCCGAAACCATGGGCATTAATATGGAGTTACAGTCAGCCTAGACATGTTTTGTGTCCGAACTGTGCTTGTTTAGTTTTGTGCTGGAGCTATGAGACTAATATTGTTTGAATCATAAAAACTGGGGCCCGACTGCTAAACTGGTTGGCTGGTAAAATCTATTGATATTGAGGTCCTGTGAATTTATAAAGCACAGACACTTATCAGTTAAAGACTGATAAGTTGAGAATCACTATCTACTAATGTTTATCACAACTGAATATATAAATATTACTTTTATTCATTAATAGCTGCACCCCTTTATACAGTTTTTTTAGTTTTTTCTAGTTTGAACCAACCTTTACTTTTCTCAGTGGATGCTGAGAAAATGGGGGTAGCTGCTAAACACATGCTCTGGATGTTGACCAGAGAACTGCAGCAGCTGGATCGGCAAATCAGGACTTGCCTGGGGTGGGAGACCGAGCCCCACAAGTGGAAAATGCATTTCGAAGCAGCCTGGGAAGCCCTGTATACGGCGGTTTCACATCTGGTGGCAACTTTCACTTGTCCAGACGCAGCACTACATTCACAGCTAACACCAGGATTCCCCAACTTCATGACCACACCAGAGCAAGTCTGGGAACGCCAGCATGGCCAGGGAAAGAGAAGGTCTTCACCAACTTCTCCTTTGGCAGACTTTGCCTCCAGTAACCAGTTCAAAGCCCTCAGCTGTCCACTTGCTCTAGCGCCTTGGAGAATGACTCAGGACAGTGTTCTAATAATCGGACATTCCATCGTCAGACATCTGAAAGCAGCTGGCTCTAGAGGTAATGCTGCTATCTCGTTTTCCAGGCGCCCGGGTCTTGAATATTTCCAGGCAGTTTCCCGCTGCTCTGAGCAAATACGAGGACATTGGCACTGTGGTCGTTCAAGTGGGAATGAATGACGCAAGGAGCATTTTGGATTACTTCTACACACCGTTAAGAAGAGGACTGAGGCCAGGATCATCATCTCGGGACCTCTGTCCACCTACTGGAGTGGATGCAAGGTGTTGCAGCAGGCTCTGCACAGTTCACTGTTGGCTCCAAGGCTGGTGTGAGAACAATGGCATTGGCTATGTGAGCAACTGGAGTGCTTTCTGGGAGTGACCGGCCTTCTACTGCAGGGATGGATTACACCCAATCTGCCATAGGTCTATCATTAGAGAAGGTACTATACCAGGCCTGACTGGACATAATGGCAATAAACAACAGACAGGTAAGTAGTAAACACAATGGAGGTATTGATTATGACATATTGTCTGTGATTGGTTTACTCAATGTAAGGTCACTAAATAACAAAACGCTTCTGATTTGAGATCTTATCAGAGAGCATAAGCTTGAATTTGTTTCTGTCAGAAATGTGGCAAAGTGAAAATGGCACAAAACTTGAAGCTGCTCTTGAAAGCTACAGCTTTATGCATACAGTAAGACTGGGCAGGCGAGGAGGAGGAGTGGCATGTATTTATGATAGTGACTAAGTGGAAAAATACCACTATTGGTGAATTTATGTCTTAAATCAACATTTTAGTGATACTTTTATGTTACTAATTGTGATATATAGACCTCCCAAGAGAAATTAATGTCAGTTGTATCCACAAGCTATGATAAAATTCTTCTTTCTGGGGACTTTAACTTACATAGTGATAGCCCATCAGGCAGTAATGCATTAGAATTCATTAGAATTCTAAAGACATTTGATTTGAAGGAGGATCTGGTAATCACAAGAAATTTTAACACAAACGTGTCCCTAATCTCTGATGTTTTCTTATCAGATCATTTCTGTATTTCCTTTCGAATCAATTTAGAAGTAAGAAAGAAAGTGCCTGAATATTTTAAAAAGTGTTACATTGACTCAAACAGAAGTTTAAAAACATTTGCAACAGTTCATCGCATACAGTTCTGACTCCCTCCTGTAATGATCTGGTCTCTTATCTAAATGCTAGATTTAGGGAAACTCGACATTTATCTTGACATCATTTTGGTGGGTTTTAAAAAAGTATATTAAGTTAATCAACCACTAAACTTAAGAATGAAGCTGAAATTTGAACAGTCCCAACCTCCCACATTGATCAGGTCTCAAAACTGTGATATACGTTGTAGTCGCTCCTGTTGAGAGAAGGCCGTTGCCCAGCCCATATGTATCATTCACAGTCAACATCAGTGGTTAATGTACTCAGTTTATTACCAATATAAGGGATGTGCGTTTAAGCCAAACATGGCACAGATTGTGCAGTTCACATTGCATTACTCACTGTAGTTCTGCTATGGTAGGAAATAGGAATGGCCTGTGACTTGTTTGTTGTAGCCTATAAAGGTAAGCAAGTTTTAAAATGTGTATGAGCAGAAGTTACACTTGCATATCTTATCGCTATCCATTTACCTTTTTGATTTCATTTTGTTATCATATACAACGTATTAAAAAATGTTAATACTCTGAAAACATTTGTGAGTTTGTGCAAGCTGTGCAAGTTATGGAAATAAGATGCACACTCAAATGAAATAATTTCACTTTATTATTTTATTGAAATCATTTATAGTTTCTCATCCAGGCATTTCTTAGGTTAAGTAAAAAGCTTTTCGTTCTTCATAGCAGTGATAAACATTTGTTTAAAACAGTGTCGTCTAGTGACAAATACATATTTTCAAATTGTTGAAGGCAAGACATCAGCGGATAACATAAAAAACGTGGTTTAAAGCTGTATTATTTTGTATTATGGATAAAAAGACCTTAGACTGTTTTTGAAATACATTTTGGTATGTACACAGTGGCAGTGCTGAGCCTCCTGCAGCAAAACACACAACTTCGCTCCTCTCCAATTTAGTCACAACCAACTCAAACTGAACTGAAGAAAACAGCAGAAAAAGTTATTTAAAAAATCTCTCAATAGAAAATACAAACAGCATTCTTTCTCTGCCAATTTATAGTAAAAACATCATGAAAAATACAGATAATAGTTAAAAGAAAATCATGACTGGCTTTAACATGCACTTTTTAGCAACAATGGAAATCTATTCCTCTTGAAAATGAAAATTATTAATGTGCAGTTTCCTATTGTGGTTGTGTTGTAACAATAAAATTTGTGGTAGTCAGTGGATCCTGGCTGCCAGTGGACACTGAGCCACAATGGAAAGGAAGATGATGACAATGTTCCACAGGTGATAATAACTGTGTTGGGTAAGAGAACACACAGAGAACTAGAAAGGACTAATTTGAATAACAATTTTACATAATGATTTATTTACTTCTACTGTTAAAACAATGGACAATTAAGGGACATCAACAAAAAGTTCGACTATGGTAGAGAATTGTCCACTGTCTTTGCTGGGGGTTTCCTTAGACTACAACATACCATTCTCAGCGTTTTCCATACAGCTTCAGTGTGCCGAAAGTTAAGATGTGCTGTAAAATTAAAACATTGAAAAGCAAATCCAAAATGAATGGGTTCCTAATAGGGATATATCGATACCAATGCAGGTATCGAGTATGGGCCCAATACAGTGCTCACTGGATCAGCTCTATTTCGACTCCCCCAGACGGGACTAACATCGGTTTGTTTGTGACGATGCTGCCTGTGCCACGGTAATCTGCTGCTCTCCTAGCCATTTTGACCATTCTTCATCCCATTCAGCCCTCTGTCCCTGGGAGCCATGTCCTTTTGCCATCGCTGGCTTTTTGGGGCCTTAAATTTGAAGCAAGTGATTTTCATCCAATGTTATAACTGAACGACCATGCTGTTGCCAACAGGATACTCCATGCCAAGTGACTAGAGCATCTTCCAACTGCCTCCTTCATCACACCCATCAACTCAGCAACTGCCCTCTAACAGCCATTCCTGCTCCATGTTTATTTTGTTCAGGAGAATTCAGTCTGCTTTACTCTCATCCAGCCCCTTTGCCTGCCAAGTTTAACACAATCTACACAATCCAGTGTCGACCAGAGGAGGATGGGTTCCCCTGTCGAGTCCTGGTTCCTCACGATATTTTTTTCCTCACTAGGAAATTTTCCTTGCCACTGTCACCCTCAGCTTGCTCATCAGGGCTTCAGACCTGGATGTCTGTTAAGCAGCATGTCACCATGCCACCATCAAGATATGACACTGAATCTAATTTATCTGCTCCATTTTTCTTCTCATCTCATTCTTCTCTTTTCTTCCTAGGCTAAACTTCTCCACCAAGCCCTGTTAACCCTAGCGCACTCTGTCTAACTCAGATACCCCAATGCAAGACCATCTGAACAACACCTGATTCTGAATCCAGCTCCTCCATATTCCACTGGCATACACTCGTACCAGATTCTCTACCCAAGCTGCTATAGTTCTTGTCACCTCAGAATCAGCTGTTGCAGGAGAGAGATTTCTGGACCTCTGTCCTTTCTCATCATGTGAAAATCACACAGTCCTAGCCTTCAACAGACCTCAACTCCAGCCCCAGTTCTCAGAGTTCTCCCTCACCCTCAATCAGTCTTCCCTCATATTACCACCACATGTTGAAGGCACAGTCTGAAATCGCATATAGTGCCTTATGTATGTTCATGAAAGAAAGTTTCAGCATAAATGGCTATAAACATATTACATTTTGATTTATAGCTCCATTTATTCCTTTTTGAGGACTCACATGTGGGTCCACTCATATTTTTGTTATAATGGGAGAGATAGGAAGTGGCTAGGTTCCCCATAAACTGACCCTGTCCACACAACGGGAGCTCTAAAATGCATGTGTTTGAGTCATAAAATGAGGGGAAACAGTTTTCAAACACTGTTGAATTAATCAGAATTACACTGTTTAATGTGTAATTTCATAAGACAGCATAGAAAAAATGTCCATGCTGCAGCGGGCCGTGTGTGTATATGGGGCTGTGTGTGTTTACTGGGGCTAGTAGTTAAAATGCCAGGCTCGAAAGCTTGTCAGACAGTAACTGAGGGCTCAGGGCTTAGCAAAGACTTAAGTCCTTGAATAAAAGCATCCAGATAGATTTAAAAAGTTGAATGTTATTTTTGCACTCAACTCTCTACTTAAATCCCTATCTTGTTCAAAATATTGTTAAGGGCAATGCTGTACTAATAGGCTAGCAGTGTGAAATATTACAATATATGATTCCAATATTTTTAACATGGAAAAATCATTTTTTTACTGTTCACTCTCATGTAGACTAAATTACAGACTTTTCTCACAGATTCCAACTAAAAGGTAACCACAGGGATAATCAGCCCAGGTTGACGCATGTTCAGATCCAGCACCTCTATAGCCAGTCATAGCACAGTCCTCATTTTCATAATTATTGGGTTCCCCTGTCCACCAGAACCTGAAACACAGAGAATCAGATTATCTTCACTATTGCATTTCTAGAACTTCTTAGAATAAGTGAATAACTGCATCATGAGCAGAGATCAGTTCAGTGGTCTCTTACTTAGTGGCCAGTGCTGAGCCATCCACCCATTTCCAGACCCCCTCTGTGTCAGTGTCTGTCAGACCAATCCAAGCTTCAGTTCTGCCAGATGCTTTAGTGATGAACTCCTGACATGGTGCAGTATAGAATAATGTGAATATATACAGCTGAAGAGTAGTATCTCTCTCTCTCTCTCTCTCTCTCTCTCTCTCTCTCTCTCTCTCTCTCTCTCACCTGTTCTTCTCTGCTGTTTATGATCACCAGGTCTGCTCCTCTCTCTCTGCAGTCCTGTCTGCTCTCACTCCAGCTCTTCTTCTCAGTAGAGATGTGGTAGAAACTATTTTGGAAACACCTCTGTTTTTGCTCTTTAATAGAGAAAATCATGCATTAGTAGATCAGTTCAATTAAATGGAACTTCCATCTGATTCTTCAGATTTTCTGGATAATTCAGTCATTGAGAAGTTAATGCTCCATCTTTATGAATGTTACCGAGTCAGAAGTATTCACAGTGGTGGTGACAGGAGCTATTCATTCAAAGTGTTTACTGCCTCTAAAAGCTACATCGCAGAAAGCTGTTATATGAAATGGTTGTAAATATGCTGCTTGATGTCTGAGACACTATTTAACAATAGATTTGATATTAGCTTTGGATCTAAGACATTTTTAGTAGTGCCTTGTAAGGCAAAAGAATACCAGAAGAAAAATGTCCCAGATTTACCACTGTTTTACTCTTATCAAGAGTATATATATAATCTGACACTTTGGACAGCAAAAAATGGCAATATTTGTGTTGGAGAGAGTGTGACCTGTTTCTTCTCACTCCCTTACAAAGAAAACCAAGTGGGTATGTTTGTGTACAATGAACCACAATTTCACATTAAACCACTATGAATGACTTTGTTTACATCTTAATGACTGAATTATGCAGATTTTGATAAATCAGTTTAAGTGAATTATAAATATCCACTCACACATAGTGTAATTAGGTTTTCCTCAGAAGTCTCAATGCACAGTGTGAGTGCAATTACATACACTACACACTATGTGGTACAGTCTGGAACTATATATAGCATGAGAGGTTGTTGCTCTCATATATTCTGTAATTGCCTGTATGCCTTGTCACCTGCATTACTAGCCCAGTTATAGTGTAAAGGTTAAGCTAATATGAAAATGTCAAACACATCATTAGAGAGAAATGTAAGTGAATAAAGTTCCTAATTCATTGTTCTCTATAGTAAAAAAAAAAGGTTACAAAAATAATTTTTATAATCAATAATCATTTTTGCACAGACGTTTCATTAAAATGTGAAATAATTCCTACACAAACCTCCAACCAGTTATATCAAAATGTAGTTCAAGTTGTCAGCTTCACAAAGCAGCTTTCAGATTTAAAATTGGTTGGATTGAGATATAATGCTTTAAGTCATAGCAGTGACTGTTACTATGTACTAATGGGGCAGGCTGCTGTAGCATCTGAGGAACTGGCACTGACAATGTCGATATCCAAGTCAGTCATATTAGTCTGTATCACAGCAGTCTTCACTGTTGTCCACCAGTGAATATAAAACATCAGCTTAAATCTTACATTCAAATCTCCTCAGTAGCAAAAAAGGATAATAAATATTCAGGGAGTCCATTAGTTCTTGCTCTGACTCATGTAGACCAGGAATTTGGAGACACAAATAGGTATAAGTCTGAAATCATCTGTGCATCAAGAAAACCAGCAATTTGTACTAACATTTCTTTCATGCATGAGCTTCCTGTGCTTTTGCCCTCTGTTGGCACCTCTGACTATCCAGCCATTATGTGGAATGCTGGTAACTGGCCCTCCAAGCCCATACAGTACATGCAGCGTGCTGAAAATGTACACCAGAGGCAATGAGGCAGTTGGGCCTTCTTATGAACACTACCGACTCTACCCTTATTTATGAGGCCACTGACCCTTCACTTCCATATCTGGGTCCATCCTTTATAAAGCTATCCCACTAAAGAGAGGATCAATTACTAATAAGATTCTGACTATTGTCAGAAAAAAAATCAAGACAGCAAAGCAGCAATACTACTAGAATGAGGTGGGGGAATTGCAGTGCTGTAGCTCAAAACAGTGGTGATGATGTGGTATGGGCTGTGGTACTTCAAGACCCCAACACCTTGTAACTCTCTGGCCAAACATTTTGCTTCAGTATGGGACCAAGTGGTCTACAATATTCCACCTGAGGAGGATGACTCTGCAAAATTAATCCAGGGAAAGCACCGGACTGCACTCCCTTTTGGGTTTTAAAGACTTTTCATGAAGAACTGCGTCTGTGTTATGTAATGTTTTTCATACACATATCCAACACAATCACTTCCCAAAAACATAAAGATACTTTGGTCAAAGCTTTTCCCAAAAAAATCAACTGACAATGAATTGAACCAAGACTGGATATGGTAATCAGAGCCAAGACTACATCCCCTCTCCACCGTCTTCATTGATTTCTGGAAAAAAACATCAGTAGAGTTTCCTCCTTTAATCTGCTTGGAGGTCAGATATCATCTGATTTATCTCGGGGTGCCTACATTAACTATTTGCTCTCAAAGACAAGGCCATGGATTCATTACCGTAGTGTTGCCAAAAGAGGGAGTTTTCTATGTGATGTTCTAAAACAGATATACATGACCTTCATTAGTCCCTGAGTATGCTAGCCCAGTTTGGGTTGGGCTGACAAAAGGCCTCTCAGAGGGACTGGAGAGAATACAAAATCCATACTGTAGAATCATCAGCATTCCAACTTATATTCCTAGCAACATCATCAAAGGTCATTCACCCAATCACCTGTATGATTTTCTGCCTACAGCCTCAACACCCAATTACTCACTTTGCTGATGCAGGGAATATCTAGTGCAAACAAGCAGAACTGAAAGACATGAACTTTCTTTTATTCCTCATACTTAATTAAATGACCTAGTTGTTTTAAGGTTTATGCTCTTAATTTTATCCTAATTTTAACTTGTTCCTGCTTATGATGTGCTGTAATGTTTGACGCATTTCAGGTTTCACTGTTTTAACACTGTTTTTATGCAGTTGTACCCTGCCTTTTCAAATTTCAATAAATGAGACTGAAACATTATGATTTCATGGATTTTAACCAGTCACCTGTAGCACAGGGCCCACTAGCAGATTAAATCACCTCTGACAGTAATCAGACGGCTTCAGGCATAAAACATTAAACTGGAGAACATTGATGTAAATCATGCTTCTGTTCTTAGCAGAGTAATTCCAGAGTAGTTTCCTATGATCACTAACTTGAGCTTTATGTACCCACCTAATTCTGACAGCTTCTTCTGGAACATTTCCTTTTCCTTCTGTAATTGGCCTCTCTCATTCTTCATGTTGTCATTATTGGCCTTTAACTGGTCTCTCTCTCTAGTCAGTCTGGTGTAACTGGTCTGTAACTGGTCTCTCTCTCTAGTCAGTCTGGTGTAACTGGTCTGTAACTGGTTTCTCTCTCTAGTCAGGCTGGTGTAACTGGTCTGTAACTGGTCTCTCTCTGTAGTCAGGCTGGTGTAACTGGTCTGTAACTGGTCTCTCTCTGTAGTCAAGCTGGTGTAACTGGTCTTTAACTGGTCTCTCTCTGTAGTCAGGCTGGTGTAACTGGTCTGTAACTGGTCTCTCTCTGTAGTCAGGTTGTTGAACTTGACCCACAGCACTGTGATGGCAGCCAGCAGGAGAACACACAGCAGCCCCAGACACACTGCAGCCAGTCTGTAGTATCTGCTTCCTGCTGTGTTGATTCCAGAAACTAGAAAAATACACAGTAATATTCACAAATTCAGTGTGTTCACTTTACCTAAAAGCATGACTTTTCTGTGATATATGAAATTGGGTAATGCTTTACAGAAACTACATGAATCAGGGACGAAGGCTGGCTATGTAAAGATCTGGGGCTCAGCCCAGTTCTACAAAACACTGAGTAAACATCTAATGTACAAGTTCAGGTTAGGCTTGTTTTAAAATGAGTGTTTTTTATGTAGGAGATTTAGCTTTTTACAGAAATTTCACACATTCACACATTTTCTCTCACCCGCATACTCACTCTTTCTCTATCGCGCCCTCTCTCTTCCTTTTTGTTTTCTCTCTCTCTCTCTCTCTCTCTCTCTCTCTCTCTCTCTCTGTCTCTATTGCATGATGGGCTCGCTCTCTCACTCCCTTCTCTCTATCGTGCCCTCCCTCTTCCTTTTCTCTCTCTCTCTCTCTCTCTCTCTCTCTCTTGTCTCTTTCCCTCTCTCTCTGTCGCAGTATCTCAAGGAGTTCACAGAGACTGTGCTCAAAAGTTGTGTTGACAATGTCAACTGCACCAACAAACATCCAGTCAGAAACCCTGGATGACAAGTGAGGTCCAGAGGCTTCTGAAAACCATAACACCGCCTTCAGGACAGGTGATAGAGCACAGTACAACGCTGCCAGAGCCAACTTGAAGAGAGGAATTAAGAAGGCTAAGGAAGCCAACAGAAGAAAAATCGGGATTCATCTGATACATAACGACCCTCAGAGGGTGTTGCAAGGGATACAGCAGTTAACCAACTACGGAGGCTGCACCAACAACATTGTGAAGGCAGACGCCTCTCTGGCTGAAGAGCTGAACAGTTTCTTCACCTGATTTGAGACCAGCAGGCCTGCCACAGCTGTACTACCTCCACACGTCTCTAATATCAAAACACTAACACTGCAGGAACAGGAGGTGAGGTGTGTGCTGAGATCAGTAAATCCAAGTCCATCCTGGACCGGATGGGGTACCGAGCAGAGTATGGCAGGCATGCGCTGACCAGCTCACAGGGGTCTTTACCAAGATCTTCAATGTCTCACTGTCACAAGCTATGACTCCATCCTGTTTAAAATCAGCCACCATCATTCCTGTTCCTAAAAAGCCAATCCCTGGGAATCTGAATGACTACAGACCAGTGGCACTAACACCAGTGTTCATGAAGTGCTTCGAGAAACTAGTCCTGCATTACATCAAAGCCTCGCTCCTTCTTTCCACATCAGTTTGCTTACAGAGCCAGCAGGTCCACTGAGAATGCCATTACCACTGCCATCGTTACCCAGTTTGCACCTGGATTAATAACTTTCTCACAAATCACTCACAGAGTGTTCAACTAGGCTCCCACCTCTCCTCCACCGGCCATGCTTTACTCTCTCTAAACCTATGACTGTTCACCAGCTCACCCATCCAACACCATTATTAAGTTCGCTGATCACACTCACCGTCAGGCTCATCTCAGAGGGCGATGAGTCAGCATACAGGGATGAGGTGTACAGACCGTCAGAGTGGTGTTCAGTGAATAACCTGAATCTGAACATCACAACGACTAAAGAAATCATACTGGGCTTCAGGAGGAAACGTGAAGCAGACCTGGCCCCACTCTGTATAAATAGGGTTTGTGTAGAGACGGTGTAGAATTTTACATTTCTGGGGGTCCTTATCTCTGAGGACCTCTTCTGGCCTGCCAACATTATAGCAACTGTCAAGAGAGCACAGCAGAGATTCCATTTCCTGAGAGTTCTCAGGAGGAACAACATGGAGAAGAAGCTGTCGGTGGCCTTTTTCAGAGCCACCATTAGGAGCTTTTTGTCCTACTGTATCTCAGTATGGTACGCAGGCTGACTTCCCGCTGGTGTCCCTAGAGGACATCGCCACCTCATGCTACCTTAGCAGGGCTGCCAATATTACTAAAGACTCCACACACCCTGGTCACCATCTCTTTGGGCTGTTGCCCTCTGGCAGGCGCTACATGCTCGCCAAAACACGCACCTTCACACTCAGAGACAGCGTCTTCCCCAGGGCCATTGCCACATTAAACGCACAAGCAGAGCTTACAATGACAAAGTCATTCAATATATTAGTGTTATGCAGATAACACATCTAAACCTTTGAAGTACTTTGGCACAAGTTCATGTTATATGGATCATTCGATCATTTTGATTGAGTGACAGTGAGCTGCTGTAGATCAACAAATTAGCTAAAATGTATTTAGCTACCAGTTCCTGCACTTGTATGACCTGTCGATTGTGATGTTGCACGAGTCCATCTAAAATGTAAGCTTTAAAACCTGCTAGTGGCCTGCAAGTTCTCGTCAGCAAATTCCTGCTTTGAAAGAGGATCACAGGGAACCATTTGGTATAGGACTAGTGTGTGTGTGTGTGTGTGTGTGTGTGTACCTGAGGTCATAGTTTCTTTACGGCTTCTGGTCACACCCGTCTCTGGGACATCTTCATTGGCGTAGATGTCCTCATAATCGTTGCTGTCGTCTGAATGAGTTGATGTGTTGTCTGTTGTAATTCCTGAATTTGCATATATATCCTCATTCATCTTCAGCCCTTTGATCTTCTGTAAACGTGTTGATGCCATTAAGTGGATTTTTGCTTTGATTTTTGCTGTATCTGCAGATTTGAAGTCTCCACTACAGTCTTCTGCTCTCAAAGTGACTCTGTGTGGGTGATACTGCTAAATACATACTTGCTCTCAGGACAGGAAGTTTAGGCATTTCATACCAGCTTTGACACCCGTCTCTGTCACTGCTCTCTGTCTCCAGGAACTATTTTTATAATTTTTTTTTGGTTTCTAACCAGAGAGATCAGTTCCTGTGGTTTGTGCTCTGTGTGAAAGATTAAAATAAAGTTGTCATGGTGTCTATCCTGTAACTGTTTGCCATTTCTGAGTATAGTCATGAAGAAAAGTCATTGCTCTCCTCTAGTACTGGGATTAATACCAGACAGAACTACATAGGTGAGAGAGGTAGGATATTAAGATGATTTCAAGGCCCCCAAAGATACACAAAGATGGTACTTTTTTGCTCACTAAAAGATTTTTTATTAAAATATATCTTATTCATTAAATAACAATCAAAAAAAGTTTTAGATACAGTGCCTGCAGCAAAGCATCTTCCATTCCAGTAATAGGTTTGCTTTGACAGCTGCTTTTGAAAAGATATTCAGCCAGCTGAACGCAGTATGTTGATATGAAGTGGTGTTGCTTGGTAAAAGTTAAGGAAATATGGAGCTATAGCAAAATAAAGTAAGGTCAGGAAAATGTTGGCACATTTTAATGGTGTGACTGGTTCTGCTACAGAAAATGAGATGAGTTCTATGAATAAAGTTTTCAGGGAGCGCCTCTGTGCTGGTCTGTGTACCATGATGTGTTCAGGCAGCCTGATCATCTATATTAATAAGAGTGCATGAGAAACTGACCTGTGAGCTCAGCAGTGAGATTGTGACAGATAAGACCCTCTGCGCTGTGTCTACAAGTCACATGGTTGTTTTACATGCAGAGGGACGTCACATGCAGCACAAGTTTTCATGCAAGTGTTGCACATCCTTTAATCATAGCTTTATCTCATATCAAACATCCTTGTGCTCCTGCATGAACTTAAAGTTGCCTACCAAAATGGCTGCAGTGTCATTGTGTGACGTCATCAGAGTTCTATAAATTTCCAGGAGTAAGTATGTATGCAGTAGTTTTGCTTAATAAATCAGGTTGCTTAATAACCACCATTGCTACGTTTTCATATGATTGCACCCAGCTAAGACTGACCTTGCACTTGGGCATGAAGCCCTCCCTGAAAACTGTTGTTAGTTATGACCAATTTAGCAGGAACGAATGTCTGAGCAAGAACTGTTGGTGCATTGAGCCCCAGTACAAGCCATTGAAGTGATCTGTCATGTTTGCTAGAGGCATGCAGTGAGAACACATGCTTTGTAGCATAATTTGTCATGATACTGGAAGTGTCCATCCGAGTGTGGATAAACTGTATACTGTACTGTATATTTCTATCTCAGTAACTGCTGACGCCTGACTGCGTATACCTACATATCACAGTATGTTAAATATCTCTGCACCTTATCCTTAGAAATGTCCAGAAATGAGTGCCGTGTCAGTACTGTGCTGCACTGTCCTGTCTGTTTACTGTGTCTAATGTCTGTTTTATTTATCATACTCAATGTTTTTTTTTGCTCCACTGTGTACTTGTAGATAGATGGAATGACAATAATAGCTTCTTGACTTGACTTGACTCGACTGTAGCAATGAATCGATGAAATTAGTCAGCAATTACGTTCAAATACACTGTCCTGTTCAGAAATTCTTAAGTGGATATCAGAGTTCCGAATTTTTGACAGGAAACCGTTCCCCACACCATCATACTGCACCACCAACATGTATTGTTGATCCAACTAGATGTTCGTTGCACCAAATTCTGATCCTTCCATCAGCGTGCTGCAAACGAAACCTGAGGAGGATGTTAGCAGCAGTTTCTTTAAGGCCTGTAAGTTAAGTGATTTGAGCCGATGCAGATCGGACTTGTTGTAGCACATGCCACACATACTTGATTGGATTGAGGTCTGGAGAATGTGGAGGCCAGGACAACACCTTAAACTCTGTCGTGTTCCTCAAACAATTTGTTCAATTTAGGAAAGTGGCATGTGTCAAATTGATGTCCACATGAATGCCCAGACTCCAAGACTTGGTTTTCCAGACTTGGTTTTCCAAGAAGAACGTTGCCCAGGACATTCCCTCCACTAGCTTGTCTTCTTCCCACAGTGTATCTTAGTGCCATCATTTCCTAGGTAAACAGCGCGCACAAACCTGGCCGTCCATGTGATGTACAAGAAAACAAGACTCATCTGAACTGATGACCTTCCATTGTTCCAAAGTCTAGTTCTGATGCTTGCCTGCACATGGTAGCCACTTTCAACCAAGGACGGGTTAGCACTCTTACAGTTTTGCGGATACGCAGCCCCATAAGCAGAAGTGTGAAATGCACTGTGGGTTGTGACCATCCTGTAATCATCACTCTAAGTTGATCTGACTTGTGCCACAGTTGCCCTTTTGTTGGTTCAGACCCGATTGGAAAGCCTCCACATCAATAAGCCTTGGGTGCTCCACACCCTGTCGCCAGTTTGTGTCTGTTCTCAGACCACTGTCAATACATACTCACCACTTCTGACTGGGAGCTCCTCATAAGCCTTCCTGTTTTAAAGATGCTCTAACCCAGTTGTCTGGCTATGACGATTTGGCCCTTGTCAGATTTGCTCAAGTCGTCACACATGCACATTTCTCCTACATCCAGAATCAACTGTTTACATTCTGTCTAATACATCCGAGACCAAGACGTGTGCCATTTAGTTCTGAAATGATTTTTCGACAAAACTCGATTAACTCAATTAGTAACAATCATATATACAAATTCTTTGCATCGAATCTTCATCTAATCAATAAAACTACATCCAGCTCACTGTGTTTCACATGAATGATTAATACTGTCACACAGGGTGCTTATGCTGTGGGCAGGTGACGTGAAGGAGACCTGATTTGATGGTGTAGATTGTAAAACGGAGAAAAAGAGAGAACATAGCAAAAGAGGGGCGAACAGAAGAGACAGGCCAGAGGAAATGACAAAGTTTACAAAATTTGGCATCATTTTAAGCTGAAAACGCTGTACACCTGTCTTATTTTCTCTTTTGTATATTTACTATTGCTCTTTGAAAAAACTCAACTTCAGCAGTTGCCAACTGACGTTACTTTGTAGAGCAAGTAGCACCGGAGACCCTCCCCTTGGTCTAATATGATTGGCTGTGCCAGTTAGTATTCCCCAAAGCTAAACAGCAGAGGACTGTCTTCTCTTATGTTATGTTAGATCTCTGGTAGCACAGCTGAGGCAGCAGTAAATTACAGCAGCGACGCCTCCCCCAGTTCACACCCTGCTAACACAGTATATTTCGAGACACAGTGGTATGACTGAATAATGAAGAAGTAATGAGAAAAAACTACTGGTTATTTGAACTAATAATGTAGATTTATCAGTGGGGGCTAACATTTTAAAACTGGCCTAGCAACACCCCCTGGCTTCATCAACCGAATTCCTTAAAGATAACAGTTAAATGTAAAAAAGAAATGGTTTTCTTTTCAGTGGCCTTTAGCTTTTTATGGAGTTGTGCTTCTTTTCTATCAATAGTGTACAATGATAAGTTTGAACACTTGTTCAACAAATGCGCAAACGTTCAAGGGTCCGAAGCACAACCCACATTACAAAATGTTCTTCCACATATTGTTTCCACCAGAGAGGTCTCCAAATCCCCAAAACTTACAGATCAACCCTCTGAAAGTGATCCCTTTGAGAAAGATTATTTTGTTACCTGAAAGATTATTTTGTTACCTGAAAAAGTGAAAAAGACCCTTTTTGTGATTTTTGTACCTCTTGGTCAGCTATAATGTGGGATACTGGTAGACTCCTGCTGGCTGCTTCTACCACATCACTATTCTCCAAGCACTCAAACTCTCCAGGTGCCCTCTAGTGGCACCTCTTAGAGCTCTAGCTTTATTATGAACAAACAGCTTCTGCCACTTTTTGTTTACTTGTTCTGTATGAGCGCCTGCAATGGGAGTCACACAGAATGTAATATTAACATTTGTATTCTCTCTCATAAACAGCTTTTTCCCAGATTGTTTAAGACCATAATGATTTCCAGAATATTACAAACTTTCATTTTCAGTCATTCAGTATTTATTATCCTCGTTTCCTGCAGTTTCTTTCATCTGTGTTCCTGTATTTTATCTAATTAACACTACAGATCATGTATGAGGCCTGTTTATGACCTGTGTCACTCAGATAACAGCAATGTCCTTTTAAATGCCATATGATATTTCAAAACCAAATATGTTTTAAATGTATGGGTAAACTGTCTGGGTCAGCTTGATAGCTAACTAACTAAGACAAATTAGGGTAAAAGCTGTACTGAGGTTTGGGAACCATTATATTTTGCTGTACACGGTAAATAAAGTCTACCTAACCAAACAGGCTGGGAAAGCATGTAACTATCATACATGATCTCCTATTGTCAGACTTACTAAGCTAACAGTTGCTTCTAGAGCTCCTTTAACCAACATTTCTAAAAAAGAACCACTGAAGGATTTGATTCACCTGTAACTGTATGATAGCAAGTTCTCTAGTTGCTTCTGGATTGGCAGTCTATTGAATTGAAATGCCTTCCCTTGTGGTGGAAGCTGATGTAGCATGCTAATTGTTAGCCACTTAGCTCCCTACGTATCCAAAAGTAGGTTTCTATGGTATTACTCCAAAAATAATCCTTTTGGCACCTTAAAAGATAATAAAAAGATAATACAGCAATATTATGAAACATGCTGTCAATATGTACATATTTTTTGTTGCTTACTGTGTACAAATGTTTTTGAATAAGCAGCTAAGAGAACCATCTCTCTGTTTTAGGCAGTGGGGAACCCTCAGGGCCTTCTGGCCTTCTAGGCCTTCAGAAAGGCCCTAATGTTTTCTGGAAAATAAAAAGGGCTGTAATTTTTATTTGATTTTTATTCAAGATACAATTTTGGATTAAGTTTTGGACGGAAACAAAAGGGTTCAATTTTAAAACACTGAGTGGTAAATTATACAAGGTAAATACAAGGAGAATTGTATGCTAATATATCTGTCAGAAACTTCAGTGAAACCTGTACACTCAAAATAATGCTGGGTCTGATCCACTCAGACCAGCACAACACACACTAACACACCACCAGCACATCAGTGTTACTGCAGTGCTGAGAATGATGCACCACCCAAATAGTACCTGCTCTGTGAGGGTCCATGTGGGTCCTGACCACTGAAGAACAGGGTAAAAGGGGGCTAACAAAGTATGCAGAGAAACAGATGGACTACAGTCTGTAATTGTAGAACTACAAAGTGCACCTATATAGTAAGTGGAGCTGATAAAATGGACAATGAGCGTACAAGGAGGTGGTCATAATGTTATGTCTGGTCGGTGTGTTTTATTATTTATTTATTTATTTATTTATTCATTCCCCCCCCAAAAAAAACACAGCAAACATTGAATTGGTGTCGACACTTCGTGCTGTGACTTGTATTGATATAATGATTCGGTGCTTTGCTTGAAACGCTGTAGTCACGTGATAACCACCAACGAAGCTTTGTTACGTCACTGAAACCCATTGAAATACCTCATACTTCTTCCATGGGGTTAAACTGGTGAACTCCAAAACGGTTGTTTTCAGCAGTCATATTTCAAACATTTTATACCTTATTCATGCATTGTTTCTACACTGATCCACACATAAAGACATGTCTATAATTGGGCTATTTTTGTGTCTGAAGCCATTCACACCCACTTACCCAGAGGAAGTCCAAAAGTGTGTGAAAAAGCCCAAACTCGAGAGTTTCCACATGAAAGAAAGACTGAGTGACACTTACACTGACAGAAGACATCACAGAGATTGTCCCATTAATTAAACTGATCTATCATGGAAGGCTCAAGAAAGAGACCCAGGCCTCAAGTATGGGGTCACTTTTATTTAGCCAGCCAAAATAAAGTGAGATATATGATATGCAACCAAATGCTATCATACCCAGATAACACCTCTTCAGTGCTTCTTGACATCATTATAATTATTTCCATTACCACAAATATTACAATATGACTCTTTAAGTTTATGATGTATGCAAGCCAACGTAATGGGAAAATAAAGTTATTTTTAATATGATTTTCTTTGTCCATAGTTAATATAAGATATATAAGAAAGCTTCAATGGAAATTATGAAAATCAATAGGAAGGGCAATTTCACTGTAGGAAATTGAACTGGACAGTAGATGGCAGCATGGAGCCAGGTGTCAAATGCTTCAAAACACTGAACCATTTTCCAGTACAATGGGTTCAACTGGGTTCGAAAAGCTTGGTAACGGCCATCACTAGTTAAAAAGCCAAAAAGAGTCAAAAGTACAAAAAAGGGTCAAAACATGAGAGAAAACTGAAAAACTACATATGTTTATCAGAACATCACTTTTGTACATGTTAAAGGCTGCAACACTCCCGGCCACCAGAGGGAGATGACGCACACCTCTCAAGGCCAATCAAGCCCCCAATCATACACCTGGGAAGAGGGCTTCATAAGCACCGAGGAGACACCAATGGTTGTGTCTTTGTTGCTCCAGACTCCACTCAAGGTTCTCTTCTCTGTTTTCTGTCTCTGAGAGAGAAAAATAAATAGAACACAAAGGAATCCTCCTTTCTTCTCTTCTGTTTTTGTTTCGTTTCTGTTGGGAAAGTCATTTGTCGCTTTAGTTTTTAAGTTCTCTCTCTACTTCTGAGAAAGCCAGTTTACCCCAGGCATCCCTTGTTCTCTCTTCCTGATGGAACCAAAACTGGTGGGTTTAGAATTCGGATATGTTGCCACCTTCACCTTCAGTAGTTTAGTGGTAGAGTATTCGCACAGCCAGGTTCGATCCCCAGCCCCATCACTTGTTTGTTTTTCTTTGAGCTCATCCCTCCCATTGTACTTTAGCTTGACACTTGGGTCCTGTCTCCCTAAAAGCTGTTTTGGCTCACCTGGTAGGCCTCTGGGATATAATTCGGAGGGCCTGGGTTCACATCTTCTGTCTGGTGAGCCGCACCACGGCTAAATGCATTTAAATGTTAAATGCAGTTTAAAAAGTCATGGTGTTACTGAAGTAACCTACACACAATTCAGCTAAATCTTGAATTAGAATCTACAGTACTGTAAAAAAGTATTCGCCCCCTTCCCAATTTCTTCCATTTTTTGGCATATTTGTCACCACTGAATGTTTCAGATAATCAAACTACTTTTAATATTAGACAAAGATAACCCAAGTAAACACAAAATGGTTTTTTAAAATGATGTGAAACAAAGTCACTAAAATCTGCCAGTCTGGAAAAGGTTGCAAAGCCATTGTAAAGGCTCTGGAACTTCAGCGAAACACATGGAGAGCCATTATCCACAAATGAAGAAAACTTGAAACAGTAGTGAATATTCCCAGGAGTGGCCGGCCCACCAAAATTTCACCAAGAGCACATCAACGACTCATCTAGGAGGTCACAAAAGAACACAGATGAAAGAACTGCAGGCCTCACTTGCTTCAGATAAGGTCAATGTATATGATTCCACAATAAGAAAGACACCAGGCAAAAATGGCCTCCACTGCTGATCGGAAAGAACACAAAGGCTCGTCCTGCATTTGCCAAAAGTCATCCAGATGACCCCCAAGACATTTGGAATAATATCCTGTGGACTGACAAGTCAAAGGTGCATCTTTTTGGAAGATACACTATATTGCCGAAAGTATTTGCTCGCCTGCCTTCACACGCATATGAACTTGAGTGACATCCCATTCTTAATCCATAGGGTTTACTATGATGTCGGCCCACCCTTTGCAGCTATAACAGCTTCAACTTTTCTGGGAAGGCTTTCCACATCCAGATTGCCAGACAGAGAAGCGTGATTCGTCACTCCAGAGAACACGTCTCCACTGCTCTAGAGTCCAGTGGCGGCGCTTTACACCAGGGCATTTGACGCTCTGCATTGCGCTTGGTGGTGTAAGGCTTGGATGCAGCTGCTCAGCCATGGAAACTCATTCCATTAAGCTCTCTACACTGTTCTTGAGCTAATCTGAAGGCCACATGAAGCTTGGAGGTCTGTAGCGAATGACTCTGCAGAAAGTTGGCGACCTCTGCGCACTATGCACCTCAGCATCCGCTGACCCCGCTCTATTTTACGTGGCCTAACACTTCGTGGCTGAGTCGCTGTCATTCCCAATCACTTCCACTTTGTTATAATACCACTGACAGTTGATTGTGGAATATTTAGTAGTGAGGAAATTTCATGACTGGACTTGTTGCAGAGGTGGCATCCTATCACAGTACCATGCTGGAATTCACTGAGCTCATGGACCCATGAATTCTGCTCTCTATCAGAAAAAGTAAAAAAAGCAGAATAGAAAATACTTTTTCACCAAATGTACATCTTTTGTAAAGTATTTATACAGTCCCTGTTTGACACTCACTTACTGAAAAGACACAGACAACACAGTGAAGAGTTTGTCAATGAATTATCTCCCTTTACAGGGCTACTACACTGACCTGTGTACTATTAAACACAACAGCCAGACCACCAAGTTTTCCCTGGGACTATAACTATAGCCAGTAGCATCATATTGAGGTGGAGGTAATCTCCAGGTTTCTGCTATGACTCAAAGAAAAAACATATCAGAGCTGTTCTGGACAATAAGGTCATTTATTAAAGAAGCTTTGTCCATTACAGCATGACAAGTTCTGGAGTTGATTGGGGTGGGCAGAGGAAAGAGGAAGAGAGCGAAGGACATCAAAGTTGATTGTTTGGTGGCCCTGTCCATTTGTCCAGATGGCAGGGCTAGCGGAGTCTGATGCATAGTAGACAGTGAGTCGAGTTCTGGAGGAGCGGTGGATATACCACGCGTGACGAGTGATGCCGAATAACTGGCATAACATGCATGTAGCGGAGTCCAGAGGATGTCTTTGCTGCAGCGGGCCGTGTGTATATATATGTTTATTAGTAGTTAACATGCCAGACTCAAAAGCTTGTCAGATGGTAATTAAGGGCTCAGGACTTAGCAAAGGGTTATTTTCTTGAGGACAAGCATTCAAATAGAAGTAAAAAGTTTAATATTATTTTTGCACTTGACTCTGTACTTTAATCCTCATCTTGTTAAAATATTGATAAGGACAATTTTGCTGTTTAGTCTCATGTAGACTAAATTAAAAATTTTTCTCACAGATTCCTACAAATATAATTGTATTGTGATTACAGGGATAATCAGCCCAGGTTGACACACGTTCAGATCCAGCACCTTTATAGCGAGATACAGCACAGTCCTCATTTCCTTCATAATCATTGGGTTCCCCCTTAAACCAGAACCTGAAACACAGAGAATCAGATTATCTTCACTATTACACCTCTAGACCTTCTTAGTCAATAATTGCATCATGAAGAGAGTTCAGTTCAGTGGTCTCTTACTTAGTGGTCAAAGCTGAGTTGTCCACCCATTTCCAGACCCCCTCTCTGTGGCTGTCCGTCAGGCCAATCCAAGCTTCGATGCTGCCAAATGCTTTATTGATGAACTCCTGACATGGTACAATATGGCATAATGTGAATATATACAGCTGAAGAACAGTAGTATCTCTCTCTCGCTCTCTCTCTCTCTCTCTCACCTGTTCTTCTCTGCTTTTTATGATCACCAGGTCTGCTCCTCTGTCTCTGCAGTACTGTCTGCTCGCATTCCAGCTCTTCTTCTCAGTAGAGGTGTAGTAGAAACTGTATCTGGAAGTGTTCCTTTCTTGCTCTTTTCACAGAGAAATTCATGCATTAATAGGTCAGTTAATTTAAAGGGGAACTCCAATGATTCTTCAGATCTTCTGCATGATTCAGTCATTATAATGTTAATGCTTCGTGTTTATTTAACTTACTGAGTCAGAATTGTTCACAGTGGTGTTGATAGGAACCATTTGAAGTATTAACTGCCTTTTAAAGCTACACCACAGAAAACTCTTACATTAAATTGTGACAGATATGCTGCTTGATGCCTGAAACACAATTTTACAATAAATTTGATATTAGCTTTTGATCTAAGACATTTTTAATAGTACTTTCAAGGCAGAGAGGGACACGCAGGGCCTTGTAAGGCAACGAGTACCAAAAGAAAAATGTTCCACATTTACCACTGTTTTACTATTATCAAGAGTATATATAAAAACTCTAAAAACTAGATAAAAACTAGACATGTGTAGCTGACACTTTGGACAGCCAAAAGATAGCATGTTTCCACAGTGAACCATTTCACACTAAACCACTCTGAATGACTTTCTTTACATCTCAGTTGCTGAATTATGCTGACATTTTGAAAAATTAGTTTAAGTAAGTCATAAATATCCACTCATACATAGTGTAATTAGGCTTGGCTTAATAGCCTCAATGCCCAGTTACATTGACAACACAATATGTGGTACAATGAGGAACTACATGAGTGGTTGTTGTGCTCTTATATTCTGTAATTGTCTGTATGCCGTCACCTGCATTACCAGCTATAGTGTAAAAGTTAAGCTAATATAAAAAGGTCAAACACATCAGTAGAGAGAAAGGTTAGCAAATAAAGTTCCTAATTCATTGTTCTCAGTAGTGAAAAACACTGTTTTGCTCAGCCCACTGATTATTGACTTCAGAAGGCTGTTCACTGGCTCTTCATCTCAAAATAATAAAGATAATAATAGATGTATGAGGTGGCAGTAATATAATTCTTAAAAAAAAACAAAAAAAACAATAGACCCTGATGATATTCACTCCAAATCATCCTATTTTACTGTAGATACAGATACCAGTAGCACAAGCAGATTAAACCACCCCTGACAGTAATCAGAAGGCTGGAGAAGTGGATAGGCATTGAAAGAATGCATGACAGGCATGAAACATTAAACTGTACAATATGGATGTGAACCATGCTGTCTGTTCTTACCAGAGTAATTCCAGAGTAGTTTCCTATGATCACTAACTTGAGCTTTATTTACTCACCTAATTCTGACAACTTCTTCTGAAGTGTTTCCTTTTCCTTCTGTAATTTGCCCATTTCATTCTTCATGTTGTCAGCACTGGTCTGTAACTGGTCTCTCTCTATAATCAGGCTGTTGTAACTGGTCTGTAACTGGTCTCTGTCTGTAGTCAGGTTGGTGTTACTGGTCTGTAACTGGTTTCTCTCTATAGTCAGGTTGATGAACTTGATCCACAGCACTGTGATGGCAGCCAGCAGGAGAACACACAGCAGCCCCAGACACACTGCAACCAGTCTGTAGTATCTGCTCTCTGCAGTGTTGACTTCAGAACCTAGAAAAATACACAATAATATTCACCAATTCAGTGTGTTTACTAAAAGCATGACATTTCTGTGGTATATAAAGCTGGGTAATGCTTTACAGGATCTACATGTACATGAATCAGGGGCGCAGGTTGGCCATCTAAAGATCAGGGGCTCAGCCCAGTTCATTGTAGAGTTCTTTCGGGACATCATCCCACATATTTTTTAATTAACCTGTAAAATGTTCAGTTGCTACTCTTTTCATATAAGGATGTAAGAATGCATCAACAAAACGTGTAGCAATTCAGCAGCATTGATTGGCATGTCTTATAAACAAAATCATAAAAAAAACAACAGAAAAAATATAGCCGTAAGCGGCAATGAGCGGGTCCAAGCACGCATAAGCCCAAGAAGCTCTCATGCACTTTGAGCCAAATAGGCCTAATAAGGCCTAATGCAGTTTAGGCCTTCTAGGCAGAGAGGCTGAAAAAAGGTCTGAGTTCCTCAACAGGCCTTCATTTGTCATGAACAATGAGCAGGGGGTTTTAAACCTAATATATGTTTACATTTCAGTTTACTGATCTACAAAGGTTTGAAGAAATACATGAGTAATGGTAAAGTTTCTGTCTTTGTTCCGTATTTTGTTTCTCCATGTTAAAGGCTTTGATAAGCATGACATAAACAGACCCAATGGACCCATAAGGGCCCTCTTAGCATAAAGCATTTATCTCTGAGGATCTCACCTGGTCGGCCAACACTACAGCAACTGTCAACATCCCACCTCATGCTACCATAGCAGGGCTGCCAATATTATCAAAGACTCCACACATGCTGGTAACCACCTCTTCAAGCTGTTGCCCTCTGGCAGGCGCTACAGGCTGGCCAAAACACGCTCCTTCACATTCAGAGACAGCTTCTTTCCCAGGGCCATTACCACATTAAATGCACAAAAACATTGAACTCTATCTTTCACATGACCCATGCAGCTAAATCTACACTTTATCTAATTGTGTTTAATGCAACATCACTGTATAGTCCTTTGTATATCTTTGTCTTGTTGAATGTTCTGTGTTATTTTGAGTGTTGTGTTGTGTTGTTTAGTGTCGTCTTCTTGAATGTTTTGTGCTGTATTGAATATCCTGTGCTTTTTTTTATCTTGAAACAAGATGAGTGGCACTTTTAATTTTGTTGTAAGCAGAGCTTACAATGACAGTCATTCAATATAGTGTTATGCAGATAACACATTCAAACTTATGAAATGTTAATGAATACTTTTTTTTCACAAGTTAATGTTATATATGGATCATTCTAGCAAATTGTTTCAGAGTTGAAAGTACTTTTCTGGCTTTTAACTGAATTGGACTTTGGACTCAAATCTTGTTGGGCTGAGTGACAGTGAGCTACTGTAGATCAGCAAATTAGCTAAAAATGTATTTAGCTACCAGTTACTGCACTTGTATGACCTGTCGATTGTGACGTTGCACGAGTCCATCTAAAATGTAAGCTTTAAAACCTACTAGTGGCCTGCAAGTTCTCATCAGCAAATTCCTGGTTTGAAGAAGGATTGCAGTGTATCATTTGGGATAGGCCTTGTGTGTGTGTGTGTGTGTGTGTGTGTGTGTGTGTGTGTGTGTGTGTGTGTGTGTGTGTGTGTACCTGAGGTCATAGTTCCTTTACGGCTTCTGGTCACACCCGTCTCTGGGATGTCCTCATAATCGTTGCTGTTGTCTGAATGAGTTGATGTGTTGTCTGTTGTAATTCCTGAATTTGCATATATATCCTCATTCATCTTCAGCTCTTTGATCTTTTGTAAACGTGTTGATGCCATTAAGTGGATTTTTGCTTTGATTTTTGCTGTATCTGCAGATGTGAAGTCTCCACTACAGTATTCAGCTCTCAAAGTGACTCTGTCTGGGTGATACTGCTAAATACATACTTGCTCTCAGGACAGGAAGTTTAGGCATTTCATACCAGCTTTGACACCCATCTCTGTCACTGCTCACTGTCTCCGGGAACTTTTTAATTTTTTTGTTTGGTTTCTAACCAGAGAGATCGGTTCCTGTGGTTTGTGCTCTGTGTAAACGGCTAAAATAAAGTTGTCATCATGTCTGTTGCCATTTCTGAGTATAGTCATGAAGAAAAGACATTGCTCAGATACAGTCACCTCTAGAACTGGGATTAATAACAGACAGAACTACATAGGTTTGTTTCATAAAAGGAGTTAGCATATTAAGATGATTTCAAGGCTCCCAAAGAGACACACAGATGGTACTTTTTTGTGTAAAGTTTTCAGGCAGCCCAAAACACCTACCAGCACCTCTGTGCTGGCCTGTGTACCACAATGTGTTCAGGCGGCCTCATCATCTATATTAATGAGAGTGCAAGAGAAACTGACCTGTGAGCTCACTAAAGAAGTGAGATTGTGACAGATAAGACCCTCTGCGCTGTGTCTACAAGTCACGTGGTTGTTGTATATGCATTCAGCAATCTAGCAGCTGTAATCAGTTGATTACAGCTGCTAGACTGTTGAATGTATCTCACTCACTGATCCAATGGTGCACCCCAAACCACACACTTCTATACTTCACCTAGTACACTAAAGAGTGTACTTCTAATGGTACTGCACTGTTTTTAAATACTATTTAGTGTGCTAGTGCTAGCAGTTTGGGATGCAGCAGAAGTAACGCAGTGGGAAATCTCAGCTATTTAGATTTTAGCTTTCATTTGTTATCACTACAGCAAATCAACACTCCACAAATCAATACAAGGTGTGCCTGATGCCCATCCCCGGTGTTCAAAAAGACGGCCGTGAGAGCCAGCAGGAAGGCGTAAACCCTGAGCATAGACAAAAGCCAATAATGACCGCAAGGGAAGGATGACAACCATGAGGGCTGGGGGACGGAGGCCAAGTCCCAAGCCCTGCCTCTGGGAACATTTTAATGTTGTGATAGGTTCTGCTACGGGATATGAGGTGAGGCAAGGGGTTTATGGATAAAGGTTTCAGGGAGCCCAAAATACTTACCAGCGCCTCTGTGCTGGTCTGTGTGCCACTATGTGTTCAGGTGGCCTCATCATCTATATTAATGAGAGTGCATGAGAAACTGACCTGTGAGCTCACTAAAGATGTGAGATTGTGACAGATAAGACCATCTGCGCTGTGTCTACAAGTCACGTGGTTGTTGTATATGCAGAGGGACGTCACATGGTTACAGTGTGAATTCAATACAGCACAAACTTTCATGCTAGTGTTGCACATATTTTAATTATGGCTTTCTCTCATATCAAACATCCTTGTGCTCCCGCATGAACTTAAAGTTGCCAACCAAAATGGTGGCAGTGTGATTGCGTGATGTCATCAGAATACAATGAATTTCCAGGAGTTGGCATGCATGTAGCTGTTTTGCTTAATAAACCAGGTTGCTTAGCAACCATTATTCCTAAATGTTTTCATATGAATGCACCCAGGTAAGACTGACCTTGCACCACAGCCCTCCCTGAAAACTGTTGTTAGTTATATCCAATTTAGCAGGAAAGAATGTCTTAGCCAAGACCTGTTGGTGCATTGGGCCCCAGTACAAGCCAAGTACTGCACTGTTTTTAAATACTATTTAGTGTGCTAGTGCTAGCAGTTTGGGATGCAGCAGAAGTAACGCAGTGGGAAATCTCAGCTATTTAGATTTTAGCTTTCATTTGTTATCACTACAGCAAATCAACACACACAAATCAATACAAGGTGTGCCTGATGCCCATCCCCGGTGTTCAAAAAGACGGCCGTGAGAGCCAGCAGGAAGGCGTAAACCCTGAGCATAGACAAAAGCCAATGATGACCGCAAGGGAAGGATGACAACCATGAGGGCCGGGGGACGGAGGCCAAGTCCCAAGCCCTGCCTCTGGGAACATTTTAATGTTGTGATAGTTTCTGCTACGGGATATGAGGTGAGGCAAGGGGTTTATGGATAAAGGTTTCAGGGAGCCAAAAACACCCTTCAGCACCTCTGTGCTGGTCTGTGTGCCACTATGTGTTCAGGTGGCCTCATCATCTATATTAATGAGAGTGCATGAGAAACTGACCTGTGAGCTCACTAAAGATGTGAGATTGTGACAGATAAGACCATCTGCGCTGTGTCTACAAGTCACGTGGTTGTTGTATATGCAGAAGGACGTCACATGGTTACAGCGTGAATTCAATACAGCACAAACTTTCATGCTAGTGTTGCACATCTTTAATTATAGCTTTCTCTCATATCAAACATTCTTGTGCTCCTGAATGAACTTAAAGTTGCCTACCAAAATGGTGGCAGTGTGATTGCGTGATGTCATCAGAATACTATGAATTTCCAGGAGTTGGCATGCATGTAGCTGTTTTGCTTAATAAACCAGGTTGCTTAGCAACCATTATTCCTAAATGTTTTCATATGAATGCAACCAGCTAAGACTGACCTTGCAGTACAGCCCTCCCTGAAAACTGTTGTTAGTTATGACCAGTTTAGCAGGAAAGAACATTTTAGCCAAGACCTGTTGGTGCATTGGGCCCCAGTACAAGCCACTGAAGTGATCTGTCATGTCTGCTAGAGGCATGCAGTGAGAATACATGCTTTGTAACATAATCTGTTATGATACTGGAGGTGTCCATCCGAGTGTGGATAAACTGTAGCAATGAATCGATAAAATTAGTCAGCAATTACGTTCAAATACACTGTCCTGTTCAGAATCAGCGGTCCGAATTTGTGCCAGGAAACCGTTCCTCACACCAGCATACTGCACTGCCAACATGTATTGTAGGTCCAACCAGATGTTGCTTGCACCAAATTCTGATCCTTCCATCAGCATGATGCAAAAGAAACCTGAGGAAGATGTTAGCAGCAGATCCTTTAAGTCCTGTAAGTTGAGAAATAGAGCTGATGCAGATCAGACTTGTTCTAGCACATGCCACACATGCTTGATTGGACTGAGATCTGGGGAATTTGGAGGCCAGGAGCCGTATTACAGAAATTTCCTATCTTTTTGTCTTAACTTAAGATCTGACAAGCCAAGATACGATTTTTCACAAATTTGTATTACAGAAGCAAATCTTATCTTAAGATTCTTAAATTATCCTACAGCGTCTTTTCTTATCTCAACTTGGAAATCTTAACTTACTCGAATGAAGTTGACAATCAACTGTCACATCTGTTACCTAGCAACCGACCATACGTGCCCAGCTGAAACATAAACATGTTAAGTTAGTTAGCCAAGGGAATGTTAGCAACCGTTAATGATGTAAAAAACGTCAAATAAAACTAAAGCGCTTAAACTAAACATTAAGAATATAGTGTCAGCGCTTCTTGCTGTTTATCAGAGTGTCGCTACTCCACCTTCAGTTTCATTCCCAAACACTTTATCTGAGCACGCTAAGTCAAAGCACTGTTTTCAGTGTAGATAAATGTAGCATCATTATGCTAGTTATAGTGAACTATGCTGTCTGTCACTGCATAAAATGACAGAAACAGATGGTTAAAACAGAAGTTAAGACAGGTCTGGGGTTGTCTTAAAGTTAAGAAAATATTTAGGATATTTTGGCAACTTAGGATGATTCTGTAATAAGATAAGACTATACACTGATCAGGCATAACATTTAGGCCACCTCCTTGTTTTTGTGCTCATTGTCCATTTTATCAGCTCCATTGTAGTTATACAATTAAAATTAGACTGCAGTCCATCTGTTTCTCTGCATACTTTGTTAGCCCCCTTTCACCATGTTCTTCAGTGGTCAGGACCCCCATGGACCCTCACAGAGCAGGTACTGATGTGGTAGAGGTGCGTTAGTGTGTGTTGCACTGGTCTGAGTGGATCGGACAAAGCAGTGCTGCTGGAGTTTTTAAACACAGTGTCCACTTACTGTCCACTTCTACCTTGACAGTCCACCTTGTAGATGTAAAGTCAGAGACAGTAGCTCATCTGCTGCTGCACAGTTTGTGTTGGTCACTCTCTAGTCCTTCATCAGTGGTCACAGGACGCTGTTGGCTGGATACTTTTAGTTGGTGGACTATACTTGTTTTTTCCCTTCATCTGTCATAATGCTTTGGCTTATCTGTGTATTTTAGTGAGCTTTCTGCCAAAATCCTGACTCAACTTCAGCAGTTACCAACTGGCGTTACTTTGTAGAGCAAGTAGCACCGGAGACCCTCCCCCAGGACTGATATGATTGGCTGAGCCAGTGAGTATACTTTTCCCCGAAGCTAAACAGCAGAGGACTGTCTTCTCTTATGTTATGTTAGACAATCTCTGGTAGCACAGCTGAGGCAGCAGTAAATTTCAGTAGTGACGCCTCCCCCAGTTCACACCCTGCTAACACAGTATATTTTGAGACAGTGGTATGGCTGAATAATGAAGAATTAATGAGAAAAACTACTGGTTATTTGAACTAATAATGTAGATTTATCAGTGGGGGCTAACATTTTAAAACTGGCCCAACAAAATCCCTGTCTTCATCAGTTGGATTCCTTAATGATAACAGTTAAATGTAAAGGAAAAAATGTAAGAGGAAATGGTTTGCTTTTCAGTGCCCGTCAGCTTTTTTATGGAGTTCTGGTTCTTTTCTATCAATAATGTACACTCATAAGTGAACAAACACACAAACATTTAAGGGCCTGAAGCACAGCCCACATTACAAAGTGTTCTTCCACATGTTGCTTTTCCACCAAAAGAGGGCTCCAAATCCCCAAAACTTACAAATCAACCTTTTTAAAAATCCCTTTGAGAAAGATTATTTTGTTACCTCTGTAAAAAAGTGAAAAAAAAGATCATTTTTATGATTTTTGTCATAAAAAATTTTGGTTAGCTATAATGTGGGATACTGTGAGACTCCTGCCAGCTGCTTCTACTACATCACTATTCTCCAAGCACACAAACTCTCCAGGTGCCCTCTAGTGGCACCTCTTAGCAGCTCTAGCTTTTATTATAGACAAACAGCTTCTGTTTTCCAAACCTCCCACTTTTTACTTACTTGTTCTGTATTAGTGCCTGCAAAGGGAGTCACACAGAATTTAATATTAAGACCGTAATGATTTCCAGAATATTGCATTTCCTCCAGTTTCTTTCATCCGTGTTCCTGTATTTTATCTAATTAACACTACAGATCATGTATGAGGCTTGTTTATGGCCTGTGTCGCTCAAATAACAGCAATGTCCTTTTAACTCCTTGAGACCACAGGTGGTTCCAAAACACACTTCATCATATTCTTCATAACTTTCATATTTCATAAGCTACATTGAAAAAGTGGGTGTCATATGAGAGCTGTAACTGTCTTATTTCCAGTCAAATAGATGAGTAATGTAATTTTAAACCCTTATAATATAAGCTGAACTGAATTTTTATTGTCTACTGAAGGTCGACCCATTTTTCCACAAATCTGGGCTATAAACTATAAACAGATGGCGTCTCTTCAGTGATCTGCTCTGTAAAAATTATTTTTATAAAATAATGCAAAGAGTTCAAGATTTTTGGCTTTCAGCAGTAAATTGTAAGCATATAGCAATATGTGTGATCATAAAACAAATGCTCTGTTAATTTGAGGGGAGCTTTTACAAAAAAATTAAAAAATGTACATTTATTTCATGCAGTTACTGAATAATTTTTCTTATGATTTGGTCATGTAAATTCAGGTGGAAACAAAATATACCCTGGAGAATAAGAGGTTAAATGCCATGTGATATTTCAAAACCAAATCTGTTTTAAATGTATGGGTAAATTGTCTGGGTCAGCTTGATAGCTAACTAACTAAGACAAATTAGGGTAAAAGCTGTACTGAGGTTTGGGAGCCATTATACTCTGTTATAAATGGTAATTAAAGTCTAGCTAACCAAGCAGGCTGGGAAAGCATGTAACTATCATACACAATCTCCTATTGTCAGACTTACTAAGCTAACAGTTGCTCCTTTAACCAACATTTCTAGAAAAGAACCACTGAAGGATTTTTTGTTGCTTACTGTGTACAAATGTTTTTGAATAAGCAGCTAAGAGAACCATCTCTCTGTATTAGGCAGTGGGGAACCCTCAGGGCCTTCTAGGGCTTCAGAAAAGCCCTAATAATTTATGGAAAACAAAAAGTGCTGTTATGTTTATTTGATTTTTATTTAAGAGATACAATTTTGGATTAAATTTTGGATGGAAACAAAAGGGTTCAGTTCTTGAAAACACTGAGTGGTAAAATATACAAGGTAAATGTATGCTGCACAGAT